CATACATACATACACACACACACAGACATACATACATACATACAGACAGACAGACAGACAGACAGACAGGTAGACAGACAGACAGACAGGTAGACAGACAGACAGACAGACAAACAGACAAACAGACAGACTAGCACCATCCATCCATCCATACATCCATGCATGCATGCATACGTACTCGTCATGCCTGCGCCTGTACTCTTCGTTTCAGGAATGTCAGTGCGGTCATTCAGTGCTAATTTACGGTGCTCGTCTGACTTGCAGCTGATGCAAATGCTGTATACCAGATGTACAAGACTGCACACATGCCAACATATACAAGATGAAAGAACTGCTCCGAAGCAATGCTGGTTCCTTGTCAGGGCCAAATTAAAAAATGATCATTTCGAATCCTTAACTTATTTGGGTTCCATTAACAAAAATAAGTAAAATTGTATCCAACGAGGATGCAGCAAGGGCAGCTAGACTAATGATAGCACAAAGGGATACAAAGGTGCCCTCGCGCACTGTAGGCTGTAGCATCTCAGGCTCCAGCCACACCAACCAAGAAGACCAAGACAAGCCTGAGGGGTCCGAACTCTGAGCTTCTTCCTTCCGAGTTCAGCGAAGGGGGCGCTTCGCGATTCTCCAAATGATGATGAATATGACGAGAACTATTCCGAAATTATTCTTTCCACGACGCTTGTGCTTGTCACCGTTGTGTCACTTGTGTTTATGTCGTCCTGATATGTGCGGAAGGTCGTTACTAGAATCATTGCTACGGAACCGCAACTGGTGTCATCAGGACCCTTCAACTTACCACATGCTGAATATATAAAAGTACGTGTGTATATATATATATTATACATGTATTTATTTATAGTAGATTATATTTTATTATAATATATTATGTTATATTTTATTATATTCAATTTCCTAGATCTCCAATGCTCGAGAACTCGCCGAACAGCCCCACAGTCGCACGGCAAGAACTTTTTGTGCGAGGTGGGAGTCGGTCACAGATCAAAATTTGAACGTCTCAGATCTTCATCCTTCCGAACGGATGCTCCGATCGCCGGAAGGGCGCACCAGCTAAGCTGGCGATCGCTCCGCATTCATCCCAACGAAAACATCAGAAAATATCATCCCTGCGCCAAGAAAGATAGGCATCGACCGCCGGGGAAAGTCTTCGATCGGATCCGAAGAAGAAGCCAAAACGTCTTGGATCAAATCTTCCGAAAGGGGCTCCGGCTCGGGGATCTCGAGAGTGGCATCATCAGTCGGGGCAGGATCGGCCCGAGGAGCTGCATATGCGGCAGGACGCGAAGCACAAATGACCGTGATCCAACCGCAAGTAAGACCTGTAGCGACATCACCACGAGAGGGAAGGTCATTTTTCATTCATTCACTCTCACGCTTTAGTCGGGTCGACTATTCAGAGGGCGCAGCGTAGTCGAACCGCCCGGTGGGTACGAAAACGGCCTTAACGGCCCACCGGACAACTTCACTATACTAGCACTCACTTTCCCGAGTGACGGCCGTCTACGGCCACCTAGCAAAAAAGCTATGTAACGTCAGCATTATTGGCAGGTTTTGTCTGTGTCTCATCGTCCTGTACAAAAAAGGACCGGATGAGCGGCTCCTGTTTGAAGCTTCGCCTGAAGCTCGGTGAAAAACTCCTCTGTCGGCTCTTTTCTGATCTTCCTGACGGGTCTTTTTGCTTGTGTCCCCGATCTCCTGCGAGGACTGCAGCTTGCGCCCTGGAAGTATGTTCGCCGAAGCCATGGGGACTGTATTTATGTCTACTTGAGCTTCAGACCTGTCTGCTCCGTGCCCCTAGAATGCCAGCTGGACCGACTGGCTTTGCGCTTTCGATCTGCCTCGCACTTCTGCACCTGTGTTTTTGCAGGTAAGGGCATCTGGCTTCCATTGCGGCAAGTCAGCTCGTCCCCGCATTGTACGTATGCTGTCCTGCATGGTAGTGAAGGATAGCTTGGTTTTGCAGGGACGAACTGCGCCTATGCAGTAAGCCTCTTTAGAGTCACTAGCACTAGCACAGGCCCGTTGAGTCATGCTTTCAGCGCTCAAAGCCTCTGCCTGTCTTGATGACAGCGTGCAACCTGGCCTGGGTTGAGCCTGCGTCAGTCTCTTTCTCAGCTGCTTATCATGAGGCGGTACTACTGTGCGCCCTGGGTAGCCTTTTGCCGGCGCAAGCGGATGCTTCCATTCTGCTATAGGCGGCGCAGCCAGGCATGAGGACTTTTCCACTCCGAGCTTGTGTTCTGCGGTAGGCGTCTCCATCTCAACGACCGCGCAACGGCACCACCCTTTGTCGGAGGCTCCCCCATGGGCATCTCGCACTTTCAGACTGTCCAGGGAGATACGTGCACTTGTTCCTGCCACGGAGCTCAAGGTGTCGGAGGGTGACGGGGAGGCGCGAATCCGGTCATTGGATCCGGATGTCGTGGCCTCTTGTACTCTCCCTGTAGCGGCATGTAGCAGCATATTGCAGATCTTCCTGAAAGCATATCCGCCTGATACTGGCCTTCTTTACCGCAGCTCCATCTGCTGCAACGGCAAATTTTCGCATCTTCTGTTTGTGGGCGGAAGTCCTGTATGCAGGTTTCTTCGCCGGCCTTTTGCCATGGCATGAGGCTGGCCGGTTGTGGGCTCGTGCCAGATATTCCTTGAGTACGACACTTGTGCAGTGTGCCATGCGCTTCCCAAAACTGTTGGCATCTGGATGATATCCCGGCCTGAGTATGAGACTGCGGTCGGGGTCAGACCACCCTGCAAGGCCTGACGGCGTGCATTCGAGACGCGCCAGCTTGTGAGAGAGGGATTGCCAGCGGGTTTGCATCTGTCGGGGCCCGATCGATGTAAACTGAACATCTCTGCTCAAGGACCAGGACCAAGGAAAGTTCCCACCATACATCCTCCTTGGCAGAATCGCCCTTGATCAAGGCTGCCTCGACCGGTTCCGAGTCGATGAACAGGAGCAGGAGCACGACCTTCCCCCCGAATTAAGGGATTCACGAAATGTCTGGATCGCGACTACTGCAGCGAGCACCTCTGCCATACAGATCGGGGTTTCTCTCAAAAACCACCGCTGCATGATCTGTGACGAGAACTGCCTGGGGCGTCGTCGCGTGTGAACATGACTCCTCCTATCATCTCAGCAGGCGGGTCCTTTGGGCTAGACTAGAACTCGGAGCCGAGCCATCAGTGAAGATCAGCACGTCCATTGCTGGTCACGGATTGATCGGCTGATCGCCAAAATGGCCACGGAAAGAACAGATCGGGGCTGTTCTTACGATCTGTAAACTGACCTCCTAATCCTTACCCACCAGACCGATAATTCGGAGACCTTTAACATCCATGTATCGAGTTCCCGGAGAACCGCAAAACCTCGAGAAGTATCGTCAACTTGCTGATATTGCCGAGCCGCGCTGAAGTGGCGAAGGATGCTCTTCTCAATATTCTCAGCAGTGCATGAGGGCAATTGGACTTTCAGGGGCCAGGCAAGTCAAGACTCAGACTAGACTTCGCACATCTTCGCACCGTAGGTTTGGGAGGATGTGCCGAGGGCCGAGCTGGCGCGGGATGCCGGGCGTGCGGCAAAGTGCCATGATGCCATTTGCTGCAAAAGGAGGCTCCAAACGGCCCACCCGTCTCCGCAGACTCCCAGGGGATGTGGGGGGTTCCAGCCTAGCAGTGCCTAGCAAGGTCTTTCTTGTGCGTGTCCGTCGGCTTGCTGAAAGGTTGGGGTTCGTTGCAAAGTCTGCAGAGCCTTCTGTGACCAGTCAATGTTGGCTTTGCTTGTCACATCTGTCATCTGCACAACGCGCAGGTTCAACCTCAAAGTAGTGTCAGCCAAATACGTGTTCGAGCAGAACAGAGTTGTGCAACTCAAGACATGGTGACCTGATGCCCGGACGCGGGTCTTCCGGGCTACCGATGCAAGACTCAAGGGTCACTTGCACGACCCAGCTTCTGCAGTGTCTCTTCCCTCGGTTGTTGCACATCCTGAATCTGTGTATGGATATCTGGCAAGGTGAATGCATCGAAGCTGCCACTGCTTCACGTCCAGCTCGACTCCACTTTGCCTGTCTTCAAGCTGGGTTCGCATGTCCTGAGCCATGGAGGGGGGATACTTCCACTTCGGCCTGGTAAGCCCGGCTCAACTTCGTGCAGCCGTGGGTCATCCATCCATGTAAGAGTCCAGCCATTCTTCTTGCAAAGCTTCTTCACCCAGTCCGCCTGCTTCCTTCTCACGGAAAGATGGTGCAGCAAGATAGTGCCACGATGCGAAATACGCTCGGCATGCCACGTCTTTGCAGCCTGTGGCGTTCGTTCGCCACGAGCCGATCGACATGCTTTCGCAGGTCGATCTCACCATGAAGCTGTGCTTCCTGCTACAACCACAGACTAACAAGCTGATCAACAAGCACATTAAGTGCAAATTTGTGAATTGTTGTGGCGCTTGTAACTCGGGAAGATTCGCTTGACCGGAAGCCTGACTGGAACGTGTAAATACTTTCTGGAGCCCAGTGGGTCCAAAACCGCACCAAGCCCCATGTTGAACAATAGCTCTTTTAGGGTCTTAGGCCGAAACGAACGCTTCCCAACTTGTTCAGTTCCATGTTGGACTTATAGGTTTCGACTCGCACAGTCGCTCAAGGCGGGCACGGCTTCCAGACAAGTCCGAAAATAGAGCATCTGACAACACAGCTGCGTGCAAGTCCCAAGAAACAGCGACAACAAACCCACGCGTAGATCATGTAGATCATGCACCTACAGCCTCCTTGTAGGTTTATGTTGGGCTTTCGGCTCGCTTCTGGGGTTTGTTGAAATGGGGTTTAATTTCAAGATTGGCGATTAGGGCCGATTGACGGGAGTGGGGCTTGCGATTTCAACTCTTCAAAAGAAGGCGGGACTGCGAGGACTCCAGGGATTGCAACCTAAGGTTGTAAGCCTGATCATTCCAACAAACACAGCAACATGGGCTCTGGATTCTTTTCCTATGGCTCGACTCGTCAGGCTGCAGGAGGGGGCGTTTACTACCAGGGTCTTGCGGTTGAAGTCTCTGTTAACGCTAGATCACCTCGCTGGAAGATGCGGCTGACTCTGTATGCGTTCCCCCTTTTCCTTGTACATGCCCCACTTCTCGACAACCATTTCGGAGTCACCAACTTTCTCATCACCTTGGCAGGCATGTCTTGGATGTGAACCTGCAGTTTTTACCTGAAGGCGCCCGTTGCACTCAATCGTACTCTTTGTCAAGCAGCCCTTCTCTGCAACACGGATCGCCTCTTTCAGCTCCTGACACCAACTTGCTTGGTCATGCTACTGCGCCTTCCAACCGCATGTGCTGAAGATGGCTGGCCTTGTCGCTGTACCTCAGCACAGCCCACTACGCTGTCAGCCCATCTAGACTGACCTTTCCAAGCAAAAATGGGTTTGCTCAGGGCTCCACTCCAAAAGCACGTGGGCATAGTAGTCAAGAACCGCGAGCCTTGTTCGGTCGGTGCACACAAAGATGCTTGGGAGCCATGGCCACGACACGTCGCGTAGTCGAGTGGCTTTCGTGCCGGCAGGTTCGCGGAATCTTGTGGAGAAAGAGTGCATCGCAAGCGGAAGTCCTTCAAAACGATGTAGGAATCGCCTTTGCAATGTGAACTCCGTAAGACGCCTTGTGTCTGCTGCACTCTACTGGCCCAGGAAAGGATTTGTAATGATTTGTAGCACGCGCTGCAGCCGAAAGGCCATACTGGCGGGCCCCGACAACGCCTCTGGGGTCGTTCCAAATGTTCTGCACTCCGTATTTCGGTCTTTCAGCCGGTTTGGCATCATCATACGCTGTGCCGAAAAGTCCTAAGATTCAAGCCGAACGCCTTGTGCAAAAGACAGCACGACATGCCTCCACACAGCACAAATGCCTGAGCGCTGTACCGCGCTCCCACTTTTCACGAGCCGAGGTTTTCAACAACCCACCGGACGTTTTGGTCTCGAACTGGTTCCGATAATGCGTGTCCTTCATGAAGAACTGGCCGACCTGTCAATGAGCGGCCGTGCCAAGTGAATCTTCAAGATTGCTGCTACGATTCTTCGCAAGACTCAGGGCCTTGTCCAAGTTGATATGTACAATCAAGGGCGCCAGCTCTCTGATCCACGCAAGCACCATCCAGAGTTCTGTGTCCGTGTGCCCCAGATTTTGCACTCCTTGGTCCCAAAGACTGTGCGCGACCCGGTACGGTCGTGACTTCCCTGCAAAGGACCTGTCCTAAGGTCAAACTGGCAAAGCTGCTTCGCTGCAACTCCGGAAGAGCTCGCTCGTGGTTTTCTTGAGCGAGATTGCGGATGTGACGAATTGCCGCCTGCGGCTGCGACAAGCACTAGACCAAGCGCCCACTGAAGCTGGATATGTTGGTACACTTCTCGATTTGTGCTGGATAGCTTGAGGATATACTTGTGCCTCTCTATCAAGTTGACATCTCTCAGAAGCTGGGGAAATGGGACACCAATGACCCTTCATATACATGTTGCCAATTCAATAACAAAGCCCAGTCCCAGCTTCAACAGCACGCTTCGAGCGGCTATTGCATCTTTGCTCTCGTGATACCCTGAGAGCGCTCCTGCTGGCATGGCCGGAGCTGGGCAGCACTGTCCTCGATGCAAGGAGGACACAGAGAGCCCGCTGCCACCACTCATGTGATGCTGCGTTCAGAAGCATGGCCATCGGTGGCTCTAAGGCAAAGGCTAGCTCCGACTCACTAGCGGTCAGTCGCCAGTGGGCCTGTGCTTCCGGGTTGATGCCGCACTCCTGCGCGGCGTGTCATCCTACACGGCATGAAAAGTGTGTCGCGGAGAGCTGCCCTCCTGCAAGGCCACTCGGAGATTGTCTGGATCGGAGATGGAACCTTTGAAGCCTCCACGCTCCTGGCACACGGATTCCGGTTGCCCACATGCTATCGGCTACCGGGCAAAGCATAACTGGTTGTCCTTGATCTGCTGCCGGCGAATCTCGAATAGCTTTCCTGTGCCGCCTGACCGCGTGCATCCTACACATCCACAAGTGGAATTCCCAATATTCAACATTTAGCCGGCCGACCGACTTTGCCAACGTAGCGCAAGAACTCGTCAAACTGAATTGTTCCATCGCGGCTGGTGTCCTGCACAAATGCAGCTTCCCGTTTCAGCCGTCAATCGCACAAAAGACTTTGCCCTTCTGTGTGAGGTCGTGGGGTCTCTTCACATTTGGTCAGAATGCGGCGCTTTGCCAAACTTGTCTTACCCGACATTTGATTCAGAGCCGGCGCGAGACCCCTCTGCCCTCAAGGAACTGCAGCAACTTCGAAAACAAAAGCATACAGTAGCGCAAGCAGGGAACAACACGACAGTCCGATCGCCACCAGCCCTGTGTATGCACACGGCCACTGCTCCCAGCATTCGACCATTCGATGCGATGCGTTGTTTATGCTCGACCAATTTTCTCCCTGTCCTTCCCCCTCTCACTTACATGCATGCACTTCGGTGTTCGTCTGTGCCTGTAGGTCAATCATTTTTGGTCACAGTTCGACGGCCAGAATCCTTCACGGACTTCAACAAGACGGCAACAAATGCAGGCAACCCTGTCCACTATGCTCATCAGCTTGTCCACATCCTCTTGAGTGTCTGGAAAGCCCAAGTAGTCGAGCATGAAAGTTACCTGGAGGGGTCTGCAAACACATTATTGGATGCTTCTTCAAGGGCCCAGTGGTCTTTTGGGTCTCATGATGTCTCGTGCGAAGGGCTCAAACATGCTTTGACATTTTGCTTCTCGAGCTGTTACTCGCTGGTGCCTACGTTGCGACATGTCCTGGCTTGTACAGGCAGACCTCATTTTTGGCGAGGACGCCGTCCCCGCTGTGGTCAAACCTGGGGAGAGTTCTTCTTGCAAGCGTTAACAGAGAGGAGTCCAAGCGACGGGGCATTCAAGCTTCGGTCTTGTGCAACCATGTTGACCGGTACCTACTCCTCCTGAGAGCTTTTTGACAGGGCCTCTCAGGAAGAGCTAGCATTTCCAGCCAGAGGGAGACGCCGCAACCGACTGATGACGGGAAGACGCGAGACCTACCTCAAACATGCGACTTGGTGGCTGATGCGCAACTGGTGTCTCTGTCAGCAAACGCAGCAATAGGTTTAGCACAGCATTGCGGCATGCCCTGCACGACTGGTTTCGCCATTCTCTTCTTGCCCAGTCAAGCCGAAGTTGCATCTAAGAGTTGCTCTCGTTAAGATGCACAGGAGTGTAGCAGGAGGGTATAAGTGGATTTGACTCTGCGGGCGTTTCAGGCAGCTTCAAATGGACCCGTGGCATTTGCATGTGGACGGACCATAAGGGTTTTAGCCTCCTTTCCAAGTTGTTAAACACGCTTCAACCATATCTGAAACTGTAACCACGAGACCCACCACAGCAACCTGCACTGTGCTCCTTCTTCGCTGAGCAACTTGTTGAATGCAGCTGCAATGTGTTTCTCCTCCAGATCCAGCTTCATCTGCAGGATGTCGAGGTTGTTCTGTGCCTGCTTGTGGGCTGGGTTTCTCATGCGTTACGACATGTGCCATGGGGTATCACCTGGAAAAGCTAGTTTGCTCGGTCGCTCGGTATCTTGCATGCCAGTCGCGGAGCCATGTTGTATGCTCCTGAACTTCGCCGCCCGACTGGCTGGAGGTCAGCATGTCTAGTCTAGCCATTGGACGGAGCCTCAAATCGTGATTCCCATGCTTTCGTGGAACTCTTGCATGCATTTTGCCGCCGGTGCTTGGAACCTGCATACTGATGCTATGTATCATCCTACAAAGTCAACACGGTGACGTGTGCCCAGTAGAAATATGTAGCGTAACAGTGGATCGAGCGGAACTTGGTGAGAGGTCGTTGTTTCACGCTCGCACGGCAACACAAGCCTCCCCCTCCCCCCGACCCCAACCTACTGATGCACACCTGCCATTGCAACCAGCACCAGAGTCCACGAGTTTGGTGAAAATTAAGAGGGTTTACAGACGCGGATAGGTAAGGAATGCTCGGAGGGCAGGCTTTACCCCTGTATCGACGGTCAACCTGATGGGCCTCATCCGCATTTCCGCTTGCGATCGACGCGACCAGCTCGTCGATAAAGAAAGCGAGCTCATGCTCCTAGCACAGATGCATGTCAGTGCGCCCCTGTCCTGAAACTGAAGGACTGCTGCCCAGGCTTCCTTGCCCAAGCGGCTCCCTGCAGGCACTTCTCTCCTTGGAGACTAGGTATGGCCTCGATCGAAAGAGCTCGTCGAGCTGCTCCTTTCGAAGGCTCGGGTTCGCATCTGCGCGTGTACACATTGCGGCACATCGGCTCGTGAACAGAATTTAACATCACATCTTCTTCTGATGCAATAGCATTTCGGTTGCATTACGGTATGCAACATACCGGCAAGTAAGTATGCATCGTCTGCTGATCAGCATCGACTGCCGGTGCAAAGCAACATCCTTGTGGGCAGTACACTGTGGTGACACTTCGACAGCGCTGAAATCGCCCTGCACGCTTTGGAAGAAGACCTCGCTGCTGACCTCCAGGGGCAAGTGCTTCAATGCGATGGTTCAACTTCCTTCCATCTACATAGATGGCACACAAATACTAAGGGTCGCATGACTGACAGTAGTTGCTGCGAACTTGACTCAGCATAACGGCATGCAGCAAATTGAACACCACTTGCGGCTACAGTAATTGTAGTTGCTCATGAAAATAACAAAGCCTTGCCCGCTTCGTCACTCAAGCATGGCTACTTGCACCCTCCCATAACGTCAACCTCCCGCACTCGGTGCTTGATCTGTTCTCCATCGCTCACCCGGCTGGGGTCAAGGGCCACAAATCAAGGGCGAAGCTATAAACATAGAGGGAAAAGCTGGAATAAAGTGCAGACCTTCTTCATTTCACAAGCCCGCTTGTCAGCTGAGGCTTCTTCCTAATGAAGCTTTGCTTGGTCGTACTGCACCAGCTTTCATCAGCTCAATGGACTTCTCTTATCTTCTTTTGCGACCGTGTCCCGGACAAGTCGTGTCGACGATTCAGGCCGACAGCCCGATCTTTGGGTTCATGATGGTTCATGCTCCAGTGCAGCAGATTCGATTCTTCCATAGCTTACGGTCATAAAATCATGCACTATCCTGCGGCATATCCCTGGCAATGCTGCCAACAGGCCGCTTGCAGCGATGCTGTATCGTCTTCCGGGCCCATGGTCTCGACCCGTGTGACCACAGGTCCAGCAGTACCAGCTGGCACCGCTTGGCATTGCTTTACGGATAGCCCACTGTCTCTCGCTGAGAGCGGAAGCTGGACAGTGTGAGACCAGGACGGGGTTGAAGCGTCTGGTCCTTTATTGTACTTCATGTCTCTGCCCATGTTGACGTTGCCCTTTCTGAGAATGTGGGCCGGTCGGGTTGGAAAGCGGCAAGATTCTGTTGTTGAACATGTCATGGGCAATCTTTCCGATTGGTTCAATCGAGCTTTAGCAGAGCTGAACAGCTTACATTCAAAGTTCAGCCGTATGTGCTCCATGCAAAGGATCTCTGGCCGATTCCTTGCACGAAGCCTTGGGCCTCATGCTGAGCCACAGCAAAATGGGTGTCCCTTCCATGTCTTGGGAATCGGAATATTTAGTTCACAATCAAGCAACCTCGAGATCCCCGGCCTCTGCAGTATCTTCATGGCAGACACAGAGGGAGAGCACGCGCCCCAACGAAAACATGCAATTTCAGAAGCTTTGCAGGCCTGTCAAATGCTTTTCCTTCCGAGATGCAAACATGGGCTCAATGTATAGTCTCACGTCAAGGATAGGGCTCCACATGGTTTGGTTCGCTTCCAACGGCGTCCCTGGAGCCAAGTGGCACGGAAAAAGCTGCTTCTGTCTAGCTCGAGCATGTCAGCCCATCGATAAAGCCGGTTGAACACCAAAACCGGAACTCGCATCCAGCTTGCATCCTCTAACGAGAAGTCTCACACAAGAAGCATAACTTGAGAACCAAAGACACGGAAGCGGGAATACCCGAAACTAACGATTTTCAGTTTAAAGGCACAGGTACTTAGAAAATCTGCAATCATCGGACTTACCGTCCTGGTCCATCCTCAAGAAAAAGAAGTGCCACATCGGCGGCACGAAGACTTTCCATTAGGAAGTTTCAGCGCAAAAGGCACAACCACGTGTCCAGTTCAGTCGGTCTCGTTCCCTTCGATCGGTGTCGGTGTGTTCGCAGGAACTGGGCTGTGCTTGTGTCCGGTCATGCCCGAGTGCATCTAATTAGTATTATATGCCCGTGCCACAACGAGTGCTGCCGCCTGCAAGGTCTCAGGCGACGTGGCATTGGTACTGGGGGGAGTCGTCCGAACAGTGAGCCAACTCTGTGATTCAGCATGCGGATCTGCCTTCACAGGACTTGTGAGATCTTGTGAGTATAGGGTTCGTTTGGCAATAAGTCAATAACTAATCAGTAACTGCAGGAGAAGCTAAATCAGCTAAATCATCACCTCTCGTATCGGGTTGGCAAGCTGAGCCTTTTTACTGCGGGGATCTCTCACGCCTTGTTGCGGCATGACCTGCAGATCTGGCCCTGCATCAGGGCTTGGCACTGCCTGCCAGCAAGGAATGCGTGTCACGGCTATGGCCGGGCTGCAGGGCGGGTTCCAAGCACACAACACATGCAAAGGCCCACTTGCACTGCCCAGCTTCTTGAGCTTTGCTTCCCTCGGCGGCCGAAACCAGTCGGCGAATCTCTACGTCACGGGTCGTTGTACGGCAGCCCGACCACGGGTTTTGCAGTGCATCCAAGCTGCCACTGCTTTGCATCAAGCTCGACCCCACTCTGCCTGTCTTCGAGATGGGTCCGCATTTCCTGAGCCACTCGGATTCTGTGGAAAGAGTCAGCATGGAACAGCGTCAGATTTCAAGCATGGAGCACAGCTTGCGACTATGCAAGGGGTCGCCGCTGCTAAGAACTATGAGCCTGCAGCCTTGCGTCATCCATCCATGTGAGGGTCCAGCCGTTCTTCTTGCAAATACTTTCCACCCAGTCCGCTTGCTTCCTTTGTTCACAGTAAGACAGCATCTACTTCTGCGTCTGGCACGTTCCGGAGCGAAAACCTTCCGGATATCTCCCACGAGTGCTGCATCCCAGCCGCCTATGGCGCTCGTTCGCTACGAGACGATCCACATGCTTTCGCAGATCGATCTCACCATGAAGCTGTGCTTCCTGGCACCACAAAACCCAACATTCGTACAACATGTCGCTGCAAACACTAGGGCTGCCTAGTGTTCAGTGCCCTGCGCCAGATAGACGGAAGAAAAAACGACGTGAGCGGCCGCAAGCCGACAACGCCGGAGAACTATCAACGCCCCCCTTTGAAGACACTGCTAACTTTGCATGCGTTTCCCGTTTCCTTGTACATGCCCCACTTCTCGACGACCTTCTCGGAATCCCCAACTTTCTCATCACCTTGGCCAGCATGTCTTGGATGTAAACCTGTTGCTTGAAAGTCACGCCCTGTTGCATTCGATCGTATTCTTTGTCAAGCAGCCCTTCTCTGCAACACGGATTGTCTCCTTCAGCTCCTCGCAATGGCTTATTGACAATGCGACTGCTCCTTCGCAGCAAGCGTAAGACATAATTTGACATAATGTATCTGAGGCTGTCCGGCCTTGTCGCTGTACCTCAGCACAACCCACCACCACGACAGCTCAACAAATCACAACCATTTAGACTGACCTTTCAAAGCCAGAATGGTTGAAGACGGTTCAGGGCTCCACTCCAAAAGCACGTGGGCGTAGTAGTCCAGAACTGCGAGCCTTACTTGGTTGGTGCAACATGCCTCCGAAATGTGGCCATGGGCCATGGATGCCGAGCGGCCTTCGAGCTGGCAGGTTCGCGGAATCTTGTGGAGAAAGAGTGCATCGCAGGCGGATATCCTTCAAGACGATGTAGGAATCGCCTTTGCTCCACAAGGGGCCCTTCATGCCTTCTCACTACTGCACTCTACTGGTGCAAGAAGTGATTTAGTGCACGCGATGCAGCCGAAATACCATACTGGCGGGCCCCGACAACGCCTCTGGGGTCGTTCCAAATGTTCTGCACTCCGTATTTCGGTCTTTCAGCGGGTCTGGCACCATCATAGGCTGTGCCGAAGAGTCCTAAGATTCAAGCAAAAACGCCTTGTTCAACAGACAGCTGACTAGAATTGCACGACAACATGCCTCCACACAGCACAAATGCCTGAGCGCTGTACCGCGCTCCCACTTTTCACGAGCCGAGGTTTTCAACAACCCACCGGACGTTTTGGTCTCGAACTGGTTCCGATAATGCGTGTCCTTCATGAAGAACTGGCCGACCTGCCAATGAGCGCCCGTGCCATGGAAGATTGCTGCTGCAAGAGTTCGCAAACTTGAACCACCAGCGTTCAATCATGTCCTTTCGCAAGGACAACACCCAAGGCCTTGTCCAAGTTGATATGTACAATCAATGGCGCCAGCTCTCTGACCCAAGAAAGTGCCATGAAGAGCTCTGTGTCTGTGTACCCCAGGTTTAGCACTCCTCGGTTCCACTGTGACTTTTCCAGCCTAGAGGGCCCAAAAACCCGAAGGGAATTGTGACCAGCGAAGGCGAAGCTGCTCTTCTGCAACTCCGGCAGCGCTCGCTCGTGGTTCTCTTGGGCAAGGTTTCGAATGTGACGGATTGCCGCCTGCGTCTCTGAGCCGCACAGCGAGAAAGGTCTGTGAAATGAGGCAACTGCATGTTCTGCTGCGGAATTGAAACCGCCGCTCCCTAAGCAGTTCGCGCATGCTGGAAACTGCACTCTTAGGATGCTCCTGCTGGCATGGCCGGAGCTGGGCAGCACTGTCCTCGTTGCAAGGAGGACACAGAGAGCCCGCTGCCACCACTCATGTGATGCTGCTTTCAGAAGCATGGCCATCGCCGGCTCTAAGGCAAAGGCTAGCTCCGACTCACTAGCGGTCAGTCGCCAGTGGGCCTGTGCTTCCGGGTTGATCCCGCACTCCTGCGCGGCGTGTCATCCTACACGGCATGAAAAGTGGCATCGCGGAGAGCTGCCCTCCTGCAAGGCCACTCGGAGATTGTCTGGATCGGAGATGGAACCTTTGAAGCCTCCACGCTCCTGGCACACGGATTCCGGTTGCCCACATGCTATCGGCTACCGGGCAAAGCATAACTTAACTGGTTGTCCTGGATCTGCTGCCGTCGAATCTCGAAGAGCTTTCCTGTGCCGCCTGACCGCGTACATCCTACATACCCACAGGTGGAACTCCCAATATTCTAATATTCAACACTCAGCCGGCCGACCGACTTTGCCAACGTAGCGCAAGAACTCGTCAAATTGAATTGTTCCATCGCGGCTCGTGTCCTCCAACGATGCATCCTACAGTCAGCAACTGGACAACCAAAACCTTGGTCGGTTGGGATGCAGCGAAGCAATGCAAATCTAAATCTACGTGTGGTTCTCGTGGTGCCCAGCTCTGCGTGCACCGCTGTATGTCTATAAGAAGATCCGGCAAAACGTCTCTCGCTCTCGCTCTCTCCGTCAGCATACCACGTCAAGCCCTATCATCCCCAGGTGTGCGCTTCACCTTTTGCAGTTGCACGTGCAGACCATTTCCGGTGTCAATTTCAAAGCACCGCAGCCACTGCAGCAAAACCCTGTCCACTTTGTTCATCAGCTTATCCACATCTTCTTGGGTATCTGGGAAGCCCAAGTAGTCGAGCATGAATTTGACCTCCGGAGTTCTTCAAATGCTTCCATATCATTCAGGAGCCAACATGTCACTTTTCAGTAACAGACTTCAACATGTTTTCTCTGAGGCTTGCAAAATGACAGCAGCCGCAGATGCCTACAAACACACTGGCCTCGTTTTTAGCGAGGACGCCGTCACCACTGTGATCGAATCTGGGAAGAAGGCTGGACAGAGATCCGAAGGACATGTAGCTATCCACCGAAATCCACCGGCACAGAACTGAACAGCAGTCGGTCCGCTGGGCATGCGTAACGCATGCTGGTTATGAAGGCTTTTTCAGGTTACGCTAGCAAAATGCCATCGAAGCAAGACTAGTCCAGACCGGGCGGTGTGACTGCTCAGTAAGGACTGTAGCAGACGGAGATATCATCCGAATGAATCCGAGCAGCTTTTTGAATGCAGCTGAAATTTGCTTTTCCTCCAGATCCAATTTCATCTGCAGGATGTCAAGGCAGTTCTGGGCCTGCCATATGGCTCCGTCTTGGGTCACTTAGGGTCCTGTTGGTTTTGGTATAGATATGTACCCCTTCAAGAGATTTTCGCAAGCTTGTGGCCTCCGACCTACGATGCTGTCCAGATTTACAGGACTGAGCACAGTCTCAGCCTATGGTGGTCAAGGTCATTGTGGTACATTGTAGCTACAAGGAATCACCAATGCAGCAGTGTGGCTTTTTGCACCTATCTTCACGGGGGCATGAAAGCCGCAAGCCAGCGCTAGATCTACCAAGCCGCTAGTCTCGGTACCCTTTTTAGAAGTCTTGGCAGGGAACACACAGTCGGCGTGGACAAAAGTCTGCTGGAGTCTAGCATGTACTGCGAGTAGAGTCTGGAGGAAATTCAACTCGTGCAAGCTATGAGAATGGCCACCACAAGCACAAGCGAATTGACTGCATCAAACTGGCGGGCCTCATCAGTGTTGCCGTTTTCGATAGCCTTGCACAGCTCGTCGATGAAGAAAGCGAGCTCGTGCTCCTGACCAAGAAATTTGGATACATGACAGCCTAACCCCGCCTTCTCGTCAAGAACCATTTCCAAACATTCTGGAGTGAGTCTACAACTGCAATCCTGAACCCCATCACCTAAGTCTTGTGAACCTGAAAGCCTGAAGCTGCCCAATCAGAACCTTTGAGTCTGCACCTTTTGGAAGCCTTATAAACTTCTTAAACACTGTAATGGAGAAGTCCGCTCTCCTTGGACTTCAGGTATGGCTTCGATCGGAAGAGCTCGTCAAGCTGCTCCTTTCAATCAGGGAGCGAGAACCATATCAAACCATACCTGCCAGACTTCTTCTGGATTGTGTGAATCACTGTGAATCTCGATATACACTGACATGCACACTCACGTGAGCGGAAAGGATCGCAGGGCTCAGTCTGTATAAGGTTTTAAGCCAGAGTCCTTGTGCACGGCACACTGCGGCGACACATTCACAGTGCTGAAGTCGCCCTGGCCACTTTTGAAACGGACTTCTTCGCTGACCTCCGGCACAGCCATAGACTTGACAAGGATGAAGTAAGAGCAAAGTCGTGACTTCGGCAGTCTGCCAGATATTAGGCAACAGCACTCCCAGAAAGGCTGGGCAAGGTGACACACACGAACAGCTCCTGCCTCTGCCGCTGTGTCATTGCAGATACACAGCGAGAACACTTGTCGTAGCGAAAACATGCTTTCCGCGCAGCTCTGGGTTTACCAAGCTCCGCGTGTAGCTTATGAACTACAAAGCCTTGAGGGATGCGGATGCGTCAGCACTTTGCGGTTCTCATGCCTCATGGAGTGCAGCGATTCCTCAGGTTTGCTTCGGCTTCCAGCACTGCCAGCAGTAGAGATGTAGGCATGACCCTTTTCTCCCTCTGCTTCGATTCGATGGTCTCACACCTGCTTCTGTCGCGGCCCTGCATAACCGTGCCGCGCTGCACGATCACCTGGGGCGTCAAAGTGCCTCCAGACCTTCTCTGATGCTGCGCGATGGCCCCTAATGTCCAGGCCTTGCAGTGACCCCCTGCCAAGAAACGGGATCCGAGTGACAGTTCTGACTGCCAGGTTCAAAAGACGGTGCCTTTCGACACAGGTAGGCGTAGTGCACGCTGCCACCTGTTACTAGCCCATGGCCACGATCCCAGCGGAGAGCACCGGACGAATAATACCCAAATGTTGGAGAATTCTCAATGCCGTCCTGGAAGCTTCACAGGGATGGGCACCTGAAGTGATCCCATGGTAGGACACATCTCGGAAGCAGGACTAAGTAGGAGAAGGTTGGGACAATGTTTCAGTCAGGCAGGGGCCTGCTTGATGGCGAAGTTCAGGCCCTTGCCCTTGAAGTAGTCCAGCCTGTCGAACAAGTCCCATCACTCTCCGTTCTGACCTGCTACTGCAGAACGAGAGACATGAGATGCCCCGGTGCAAACGGCAAGAACACTACAGGGACAACTGAAGGAGTGGTCTGCTTCCAAAGAGGTGGCTCTGTTGCACGTGGTTTCAAGTGAGCTAACGGGAGCTTTGGGGCTAAAACTTGCCACCCTGAGCTACATATCCTGAGTCCTAGTCCTGGACCGCCGAATCTAAACTCTGAGCATCATGTGCATGGTTGTCCAGTCAGTTGAAAGAAATCGGAGGTACGACTGAAGTGTTTGTTGGCTGTGCCGCAAAACATCCGTAGATGTCCTAGTCGCCGGAGCATCTACGCATCAAACATGAACCCGCGCCACCCTGCAGATCTCCACAGTCAACATGAGCTGGGCAACATAAAACAGAGTGAAGCAGACAGGGTGTCATGCCAGTTGTTAGCCTGCTGGCGTCCGAGCCTGCTGTTCGGTACACCATAGCTGACACAGAGAAACCTGATCTTGCGAAGGCATTCGCAATGCGTTTGTGAGTGACAGCGCCAGTGGCACTTTCTCCGAGGCAGCGTGGTGATGCGATCCTTTTTTTCCGATACGGCTCTGCTCCTCCTTCGAGGATGTTGCAGCTCTCCGCTTGTGTCCTCCGGAAGCCTTGGTTGGCAGATGACGAGAAGCAGTCTGTCCTGCTTTGCTGCCCCCAAGACTGGATATCGTCGCAGCTGTAACATGGAAGACATGCAAACTCAAGATAAGCATGCTACACCTGAACGACGGGAACACTGAACAGGAGAACGCGCACTCCAATGCTCCGAGGTTCCTCTCAGCCGAAGCTCATTCGGAAGACGTCCCATGGATGCCATGCAACTAATTGCCTGGAGATGCGGCAGCGCGAAACACAGCAACCAAGTCTGTACAAAACAAACACTGACTTGGTACCTGCTCTTTCGTGTCTTCATAGCAGACCGGCGCAGCTCTCCATCTTCAACAGGGTGTCTCGAAGGCTGCTGCCAGGGAAATGCTCCGGAGCTGGGGCACCAGCCAGAATCCTTATTGCTGGGATAATGATTTTTGCATCAAAACACATCCACTATGTACTGTTACAGTGACAGAGCGATGTCCAGGAAAGCGGCACCAACGTACCCAATACGAAACCTCGGAGTTTGGCGGCTGCAGAGATACCGTCGTACAAGGAAAAGGGCAAAGCATCGCAGGGTCATGCGCTCCCTGCTGGCCCCGATGCGGCGAGTGGCTGATCATTGCTTTGATGTCCTGTCTTGCTTGACAGCCTGCGTAGCGACCCAGGAAGTCTTGTGGGCATCTGCTCGCGTCGGCCGATGTCACCTGCAAACTTGAAACGTGATCAACGAAATGGATCATCGAACAAGGAATGCATCCAAGCAGCGATGCCAAGAGTGTGCAAAAAGCACAACACAAGGCCAGCCAACATCATTGAGAAAAGGCCTGCGCCACGCTTGAGAGACATGCATATTCGCAGTAGGACGGCATATCCCGATTGCAGCCGAATGGCATAGCAAGGTTGTGCAGTAGGCCTGGACAAGCATGCAAAGAGAAAGTTCACATAACTGCACTGCACACACTCCTGAACCAAACCTTGGATGTAGCAGATTTGGAAGCTTTCTGACGAGGCTCGTCTTGACTGCTTGATTGCTGCTCCGGTAGCCTCACATGTCCACACGGCCAGGCATGCAAACAGTATATACGGCGCCAGTTCTACCAGTGTCATTTGGGGCTGTCTGTTGTATCCAGTTTATCCAACAGGTGTTCCGAGCATGGCTACTGTTACCGTCACGGCGGTACCGGTAGCTAGTTGATACTGCTACTGCACCTGCTCCTGCTCCTGCTGCTGCTCGTGCTGCTCCTACTCTTAACCCTACTCCTACTCCTACTCTTACTCCTGCTCCTGCTGCTACCGCTACTGCTACTCCTACTGCATCTGCTGCCACTACTCCTTTTCGAGTAGTGGCGGTGGTGATAGTCGCAGTGGCAGTAGAGTGGCAGAGGGAGCGGCAGTGGTAGCAGTAGAGGTAGGGGTAGTGGTGGTGCTAGCAGTAGTAG